ATCGACAATTAATTTGTCATGAATTTTGAACTCATTCTATACATGGACGGTAAGTAGACGAGGGCGTAAGAGTCATATGTGTGTCTACCTTCGACAGATTTTACTTACGCAATCTACATTTAAGATGAGAAAGAATGGAAAAGAGCTTTTTGTAACCCCGACTGAAGATTATACTAACAACCTGTTTGAAAGCCATTAATTCCACATTTTAATGAAAAATATAAACATTGCAACAGTAAGGTGAACAGTGATCCAGCCGTAATATTTGAAAAATGAATGGCAGCCATCTTTTTTTAGTTTGAAATGTCGAAATTGTCCAATTTTATGAAAATTGAATGCAACAAGTTAAGAACATTATGGTATTTTCACCAAATTTTTTAATTGACCGCAGATAACAGTCAAACATGGCCGCCAAAGTGGGGCCCACTCACTGTATAACGGTGAATTATTAAATCATTATTTTCGAAGAATGGCATTCAAACAGGGGCCTAATGCAAGTTGGGTAGATAATTCTCGAAGTATACCTCTATGTGTAACATAGTTGTCAGCTGTACTAAATATTTTATGAAAGGAAATAAATAAATTTGTTCTCGATATCAGTTAACCCTTTAAGATAGAGTCCAAATGCAGAAATATTTAAACGTTATTGTCATGTTGAGAAGGTTCTAACAATCCACCATACTTAGAGAAAACTGAAGGCTACGTCTTTCCTTGTTCTTGGACTTTGAAGAGGCTTAGCCATGCTAGATCGATCATACCAAGAACGACTTATAAATTTGGACCCTCTTTTCTGAAAAATAAGAAACCTAGGATCAATTCGAGGATAGTTTTCATATGGCCAAGGACTTGGAATGAAACAGCTGTGAATACGTTTTAATTAGAATAATGCTACTTACAGTCGCTCACTGCAACAGTCGCCCTATGTGGCGCACACACATGTCAAGTGTATATTCGATGCATTAAAATGAGCGACTGTAAGTAACATTACTCTTTTAATTACTAGTGCATTAATCACGTACTAAAAAAAAAAAAATATTAAAGGCGAATTGGGCTTTGGATGAGAAGGCCTCCTTATAATTTTGAGGTGGGCTTTTCTGATTTGAGCACAAGAGGGAATTGCACCAATTACATGTTTGAAATTAAATTTTCGAAAATTACACTACACATTTTTTTATTTCCATACATACTGCAATGTAAAAATATATTTAAAAAACAAGAAATCACTTCTCCTCAAATCCCACTTAATTAACCTGCAGGTCTTGCATCAAATCATAATCCTTTCGTGAGTTAAACATCTTATTGCAGCTCTTCAAAATTTCACGTTTCCTTATGCACCAAAGTTTTTCAAAATCACCCTTGCTTTCTTGATACGTAATATCATAATTTAAAGAATATATCTATATTCACACTTAGCCATTCATCTAGGGCATGTAACACACGACTACGGTGTGTTCGTGACAAAGTATGCCAAGTTCATAATCAATTGGAGCATACAAGAAATGAAGAAAGTATTTGTCCCGACTACTGCTAGAACTTGCCTTGCGTGTCAACTATTCAAGTCCGAAAATCACAAGTGATGCAAAGGTTATGAAATTGACTGAGATCTCGATTCGAGGATCGTTAGGAATGCGAGGAAGGGGAAGTTTGTAGCCAATTCCTAGAATTCAAACTGGAAAATGATTAATATTATGTTCAGTGTTTGTCGAAGATCAATCACGATGTATCTATATGTTTAATGTTTTGTTGTTGGCGTTTGCACTTTATGTTATATGATTGCTAGCGACGATCTTTGAATTTCTTTTTTCTTTTTTTGTTCTGAACGATTCAACCAATTGACATTATGCACTGTTGTTTTTATTTAGTCGTTCTCAATGGAAAACTATATTTTGTTTCAATGCAATTTCTACTCAGACTTAATGTTTATATGAGAATTGTAGGAAAAATTATTCGATTCTTATGAGAATTCTACTAAGTTTACAGAACTATGTATTGGAGTGTTTACAATCTACAAATCTAAGAAGTAAATTGTAAAGAGATAATATTGCCCGAAAGCTAGAAATTTACAATATCAGACATCAGATTTTCCCTTAGAATTACTACAAATTGTTTTTTCATTTTTCTTTTTTTTTTAGAAGTTAAAATTTTTTATTCCATAATTTGCAGTAAAATTTGTCAATTTCGTTTTCTTGTTACATTCTCATGCAAAAGATTTAATTGTGTGCTCTTGTTGATAACATCGAAGAAACATATCACATGTGATATTTAATTAGTTTACGGTGGAAATTAAATTGTTGTCATCTATTTAAGAACTCGACTTTGAATATTTTTGGCACAAGTGAATTAGCGATAAAGAATGCGAGATTACATATTACATATCTTGAAATCCTGTTTTCTATCCATATTACATATGCTCAAAAAATTATACGTGCAACCTTAGAATAGGGCCATGAAATCAAAACATTGTGCCTTCAAGTTTCAAAGCAAGTGCATGAAGGTATTAAATCTTGCAACATTAACGAATCAATTTGTGAATAACATGCAAAGTAAGAAACTCCAAGGATTTAACATATTCAAATATGCCAACTTGGTGAATTACTTCATCCATTATTCGAGCACAAAGTAGGGAAATAATACAAAATATTTCTGCATACCATATATTGGAGATTTAAGTTAAATACCATATACAATGAAATCATGACAGAATGAATTACATAACGTATCTTTTGCCAGTGTTTAAGAGGTTTAAACTTTTGGCTCACTGGAGCAACCCTCGTATCAACTATTTGTCAGGTACATCGAGGTCCAAACTACGCTTGTGTTTCCCTCAAGTCTACAAAGTTCTTTGCACTCTCGTCCGGAACTCGAAACATGAAATCTATTGATGGAGATACCTGTCATGGTTGGGGAAAAAATAATTGTTAGACGCAATCATGTTCATTGTGGAACATCCCTCTTTTCGTTGTTGGCATGAGATTGCAATCTTCACCTCCGGCTAACCATTACAAGGAAAAATAAATGAGACAACTCCTTTTTTTTTACTATTTATCATGTTCTGCAGCTTCTCCTTTTATCTAATCAAAGAAATTTCAAATTACTATCACCAGAACATCAACATTATGCTCAAATTACATTTTTTGTAATTTAAAACGCTAGACCGCATATTAACTGAATCGTAAGAAATTATGATTCCATTAAATAGCTCTTACAAATTTGATAAACCAACAAGATCGAAGATTGCACGATAGCAAATCTGATTTTGATTTTCTTATACAGATGCGGATGAACTGTGTTGGATAAAATCCTTCCCCCTTATAACACACACACACACACACACACACAATTGATGAAAGCAGAAAATTACAATAACTGGTGTAGGGGGCGAACACCAGAAAACTTGAAAGATTGGGAGAAATGTTGGAAAGTGGGATTATCATGCCTGTGAAATCACCATATGAAGCTCTCGTCTTGTTTCAGAAAAGCCCGATGGTTTTCTTAGAATGTGCTGCGACTCTCAAGCCTTGGACAAAATCACCGTGAAGAATAATTATCATATTCCGCTGGTCGCAGATTGCTTCGATCGACTAAACTGAGCGAGGTACTATACAAAGATTGATCTCAGGTCCAGATACTGGCAAGTTCGAATCAAAGATGGAGATGAAGCAAAAACTACAGTGGTAACCAAACAGCATGGATCAGGTCCAATTCACCCAAAGCGTCAGGTTCAGCATTTGTTCAATTAATAAGTGACTTCACCAACCAGTCTTTTACTAGAAATATCCATCTACATAGTCGCACGTACGGGGCAGAGTCAGGAGGGACAAAAAAAATAAAATTTCTACTAAATTGATACATAATATTAAAAACTATATGGGCTTGTCCCCCCTCCCCTATGCCCCCTGTGCACATATAAGAGGGCCATCTCTAGACGAGCGCATGCTTTTATACTATTCTTACAAATACTTATAGCAGAATTCACGTTTAAAATTTTATTTATAAACGACGAATTTAAAGGAAAAAACGAGTCAATAAGTTACACATCCTAAATATTAGTGAAAGAAAAAGAATTCCCCAATCCACTAGAGATGTATGCAACGATTCTACGTGGCCATTTGAAAGCCAACTATTGAACATTTGGCCATTGTGACTAAGTTCTACACCTTCATTCACTTGCAATAAGGAATTCATTCTATCCACATGGCTAAGTTTCGAACCTAGGCTCTACCAGTTGTTTTGGAATTCGTGGTTGCATTTGAAGATGTTACACATATTGTCCAATCCCCTCATAAAGTATTATTTAGCCCCCGTTCGATTCAACTAAACAAGCTAATAAAAATTTAAGTCAAAGTCGATAATTAATTTTAATCACATATTTTATGGGATCTACAATTTTTATTAACTTTTTAACATATTTCATATTTTTTTATTTATTAAAATCTATTAAAAATCTAATTTTTATATAAATGGCCTTGATATTTGTACCTCAACTAGTATATTTTTCAATTGTTTTAACATATTCCCAGAATTTCGGACAGATCATACCCTAATTTGCATTACACATATGTAGCAGGCTTTCTTGGAGTTTCATTCTTTTATTAGGTTGTAATGTAATGTATGAAGAAGAAATAAGAAGAAGAAGACGGAGATGAGGGGAAAAAAATGATCGAAAAGCTAATTAGAACAGCCATGTTTAATGATAGTTTTTTTGTTTAAATTCAGCGGAATAAGCTAAGTTTAAGAAACTTTCAAATGTCTGAAAATCATTTGAAAAGAACAGAATAATAATATTCCAATAATTCTTGCCGGCCTGCCGGCTATTACTTCTGACTAAAACACTTGTTATTTCCCCATCTACCACATGTCTTATTTTTCTTATTTCTTGTTCTTGTTCAATGATAATATATTGAATGTGTCATACATCAGATACCATCCTATCATTCGAAAACTCGGCATTATTCGAAAAGTTCAAGTTCTTTAACCCGGGATAGTACCTTTTTCGATATATGGGTTGTGCTCAGACGAAGTCCTCCATGGATTCTCCTCCACGAGGATTAGCCAAGTTGAAGTTGGAAAATGGATATGTTAAAGCCAGAAGATCGACAGGTCAAAGGTTTTCCGATAAGGAATCAGGTCGAGTTTTGAGGCCAGGGGCAAAGAATGGAAATGGAAATTATGTTAGTAATGGGAAGTCAAATTTAGGGAGCGAAGGGGGTCGAGAAGGGAAGAAGACGACGACCATAGATGAAACGAGAAAGAGTACTAGTAGTGGCGGTGTTAATGATAATATTACTCGAAAGGCTGATCAAATAAAGAAGGCCGGAGAAGATGAGTTTGTGGATGGTTGGCCTAAGTGGTTAACTGATAATATTCCTAGAGAGGTTTTGAGAAACATAGTCCCAAAAAGTGCTGATTCTTATGTGAAGATTGACAAGGTTAGCATTTTTAGCATATTCGGTGCACGATTAGATAGTACAAAAGAACAAAATTTTAGTTTTTTTCTTCTTTAATATCGTCCAGTCTTTGGATTCAGTTCCTGAAAGTCGGATTATAATTTTTATAAATTTCAGATTTTGATTTTCTTTGAATAGGCCTGGTAATATTTTGGCATTGCAGGTAGGACAAGGAACATATAGCAATGTATATAAAGCTCGAGATAAGGATACCGGTAAGATTGTTGCTTTGAAGAAAGTCCGTTTTGACACATCAGAACCGGAGAGCGTGAAATTCATGGCCCGAGAAATCATGATCTTACTAAAATTGGATCATCCAAATATTGTTAAGCTAGAAGGATTGGCCACTTCGAGAATGCAGTATAGTCTTTATTTGGTTTTTGATTGTATGCAGTCGGATTTAGCCAGAATTCTATCTCGACCGGACGAAAGGCTCACAGAACCACAGGTCAAAAGTTCTCTTTTTTCCGAGTTCTTTCAGTTTCGTCATTAATTGAAATGTAACGCAATTTAGGTGGCTGATTAAAAGCATTGATGCATTCAGGTTAAGTGTTACATGCAACAACTGCTTTCTGGCCTGCAGCATTGCCATGAAAGGGGAATTTTGCACCGAGACATTAAGGGGTCAAATTTACTAATTGATAGAAATGGGATGCTGAAAATCGCGGATTTTGGACTTGCAAATTTTTACAATCCCGAGAAAAGGCGTCCCCTCACTACTCGTGTTGTGACACTCTGGTACAGAGCACCCGAGCTACTGCTAGGTGCTACGAATTATGGGGTTGGTATCGATCTTTGGAGCGCTGGATGTCTCATGGCCGAGATGTTTGCTGGGAGGCCAATTATGCCTGGTCGAACAGAGGTATTATCGAGTACTATCCAATATACCTTACCAAATAATATCTTAGTTCATTTCTTCAAACTATTTCGTCAATATGGCTTATTCGATCCTTTAATGTGTTCAGGTTGAACAAACCCATAAAATTTTCAAACTCTGTGGCACTCCTCCAGATGATTATTATAAAAGACTCAAGCTGTCAACTGCCCTCAAACCTCCACAGACATATAAGTCTTGTCTTCGAGAAACTTTCAGGAACTTTCCGGCATATTCTTTGGGCCTTCTAAGCATTCTTCTCTCTCTCGATCCTGCATTTCGTGGCAGTGCAGCGTCTGCTCTCCAACATGATGTGAGAAAATTTGAATGCTGAATCCATATTTTATGTTCCACTATTATCCTAGTACTTGCTAAATAACATTCTCTACATGTTCGCATAATTTTTCATTCTAGTCTGATGCGTAATTATCTGATTGCAGTTTTTTCATACAAGCCCTTTACCATGTGACATTTCTGGTTTACCTGTAATTTACATCGAGGATGACGACCAAGATCAGACATTTGAAAAGCGGAAGTAAGTATTTTCCTTTTTCATGTTTATCAAAAATATTTCTGCTAGTAAATTTTAATGTTATCTCTACCACTCCTGCCATAAATATGCTGAAAGGAACATCAGAATAAAGCCTTAGCCCTTTCTATCAAACAAATGACAGGTTTGATAAGGTCGATTATACTATGCAATATAGTCTAATACTGATCACTTTTATACAGGCACAGAACTTCTAAATTGAGGCAACGCTCACGTAGAGAGCGGAGGAAGAAAAATCTTGATGCTGAGAAGCAGAAAGAAGATGTGAATGTTTCCAAACAGGTATATATATCACCTACTTATGAACATAGCCGAACAATTTATGCTGAACTAATTAATTGAGTTTAAAACATCGAGCCCTGAAAAACTTTAATGACAAGATGAAGTCTTTCTTAGCTTTTGAGTTGAAACTTTCATGAAGTCACTCTTACTCGAGCACCAATGATAAACAATTGTGATATGTGAATGCAAAATTGTTAGATATCAAGGCCATCCTTCAGTAGGAAAGCCACAAGAATTCTGAGTATGCCTTAACTTGTTATGACTTCACTCAAGTCACTAGCCCAAGAATCGGTGAGCATCATTAAAAGATTGAATATGAAAATCTTATCAAAATCTATTGTGATACCTTTCAGGAGGCACAGACAAGTGCGGATATATCAGTCTTTAGCCTGGAACCGGGCAGCAGCACGACTAACAGTACCTCAAGTGTAAAGCCATCAGAGAAAGAAGTGAGCCCGCCCCATCTACCTTCTCTGGTAACTGAATATCATCCTAGTGCCACCAAGAATATCCAGAACCAGCCTCCCCTCCCCAGTACCAGAAACCGCACTACTAAGTACAACAAAAACTATGATAACATGTATAGATTGGATCAAGTCCAAAGGTCGGTTTCCACCAGAGAATTTCGCAGTGTGGAAAAGAAAAGCCTGTTGAAACTACATGCAGTTGATAATTAAGAGCTGTGGAACGATATCTTTAAGCCGTATTCTACTTAATTTTCGATTTCTTTTTTGCTACCATGTTTTTCCTTATAATTATTTATATAAAATCAATGTGATTGAACAGATGATGCCAATTGAGTACTGACTATGATTGGATACTTTCTTATTGTACAAATTAAAAATACATTACTATTCTTTTTCTTGCATATTGCATACTTTTTAGTCGTCAAAGGAACAGAATACTCGATCTATTTCAGTGCAACGGGCTACATTCAAGTGCATTGTCAAACAGGAAACAAAGCATACATGTTTAAGTTGAGAACTCAAATTTAATTATTTCAAATATAAGTTCTTTACAATCAAGTAATCCAGCATAAAATGAAAAATTTGCCTTACATATAGCTTATAATCTGGATCTTAAAATCTTGGCCTGTCATTACAATTTCAAAGTGTCAAAACTTCAGTGAACATCACTGCAATCCTTGAGGCATCGACTCTAAAATTTTGACAGCTCAAAATTATAGTGAAATGTCAAGATTTTATTGCAAAACAGCAAAATAAGACAATAGAGCTAGACATAGACTTGGTCCTTACTTTTTCTAGGTAGCACTTATTCCCTTGTCTGAACTCACCAAATTTTTCGTCCAAGAATAAAGAAACACCCTTCTAATTTAAATTCGACTCATATGCTATTTGATTTTCTGGAAGGAAGCTTGAAAGCTCTATTTTTTCTACTAAATTTACTAGTAACAGTTAAGAATCAACAATGGCTTTTGATATTGGTTTCCTTTTTATTTTTTGTTCAAATTCTCGAAATTCAACGATACCCTGTTTCCCACACAAATAAATAACCAAACATTGTTACCCAAAATAGTGTACAATATACAGCAAGTGGAACAAAGCAGATACTGAAACAGATTCACACTATAATTCAAGAAAGAGCAATACACATTTTAACAGCATTATCAAAGCAGTAGCATCTACGACTACATGGTATGCAGTTAAAGGATAATGATTTTTGCGATTACCATAATAACTTGCATACTATTTACCAACTCGATATTCAATTCGACGCTAAAATCTTATCCAATTCCTCACCAACTTCTTTCATAGTAGGCCTAAGCTTGGCATTCTCATTAGTACATCTTAAACCAATTTGGAAAATCTCAATTACGGTGTTTTCCTTCAGTCCATCTTTCGAAATGCTAGCATCCACCATTTCCATATATTTCTTTTGCTCGACCATTTTATTAATCCACTCCATTAACCGAACTTCTTTTCCATCCTCTCCTGCGAAAGGAAAACTAGGCCGCCTCCCCGTGACAATTTCCAACATTAGTACGCCAAAGCTATAGACGTCTCCCATCACGGTCGCCATTGTGCCGTGGAAGTACTCCGGCGGCATGTACCCCATCGTCCCTGCTATTTGAGTGGAAACGTGAGAGTGGGACTGCTCAATACGCCTAGCCAATCCGAAATCGGCAATATGGGCCTCGAAATTCTCGTCCAATAAGACATTGCTGGCCTTAATGTCTCTGTGAATTATTGGTGTATCCGAAATGTGCATAAAAGCAAGGCCCTCGGCCACTCCCCTAATGATTTTGATTCTCGTATCCCAAGATAACGGCAACCTTATTTCATCTTCGGAGCCGTCGTCCGCCGTCGATGATGACGAGTCGTAAAGCCATTGGTCGAGACTCCCCCTCTCAATAAACTCGTAAATCAAGACCCGATCCGAACCCGTTGCACAGTATCCGAGCATCTTAACTATATTCGGGTGAAGAATCTTTCCTAAAGTTTCCATTTCGGCCCGGAACTCTCGGAAGCCCTGAAAAGCATCCGCCGCCAGTTTTTTAACGGCTACGACCGTGCCGGAGTTGAGTCGAGCCTTGTACACGAGGCCGAAGCTGCCGTCCCCGATGATAAGATCCGGCGAGAAGTTACGGGTCGCGAGGATGAGTTCCTGCATGGATATCCGGTTTAAATTCGGGTCAAAAGTCGCGCTTTCACCTCCTGATATTGAGGAGAGCTCCGTTTTGGGCACTGTTATGCTCCTTGTTTGGCCCCGATTACGGATACGGTCCCGGGAAATAGAGCTGTTAACACGGTGTCTTCTAGAGTCGCTTTTACAGATTACCAAGATAATGAATAGAATTAAAGTCACTCCAAAGAAACTGGCCATGGCGGCGAAAACTGCTTGAAGGTTTTGATCCATTTCTCTACATACAGATTATAGACGGATTTAATTTATGGGTAATGAAAATTTAGGTGTTGAATGAAGAGAGCAGCCACCATTAACGGTGAGTGAATGTTCAACGACGAAGACTTGATTTCCAATCCGCAGTGTAGACCAAGGTGGCAAGTCAACGGATTTGGCCATATGGCTGAAACTTCGCCCCCCTTTTTTTCCTTCTTTTAGAGTGAACAATTTTTACGTATCATTTTGATCTATATTCTAACAATTTTTTACTTTTAATAATGATCGATATATTTTTTAAATTTATAAGTCCCTCATAAAATAAATATTTCGTGGCGATTTAAAATCTCACTTAGTTAATCTTGCACGAGATAGTAAATATATTATACCGTCGAAATGAAATTGAAGCAAGATAGATTTGATAGACTTATGTACTCTTTATACACAATTATAAATTTAATCAGAGTCAATTATTAATTTCAATAATACGTTCATAATTATTAGTCTCTATTATCCACATATTTCGTAGAGGTTACAGATATTCCTCTTTATAAATCATTCGTAAATTTATCAATCAGAGGCTAAATAAACATAGGATCTTAGTTCATCCAAAAGAGCAACCAAGAGAGTGTAAGACCGAAGTATGATTTTGACACGATCGAGTTTAATGAATAAGCGTCCATTTGACAAATTTATAAAGATGATTAGATGAATAGTAGCCCTTATGGCACATCTCCAAGTGGTAAAAGGGGAATGTGGAAAAACTCCAACTTTGCTTAAGGCTGTCGCGTCAAGGGTTCGATCGAACCCTGAAATATGGATTTGACTCTTGGTTAAGTGTAAGTGTACAAGCAGCCTTCCACCCTATACTCTTGGAGGCATAACCTGCGATTTACCTCATTCACCAAGGCCCAAGACAAAGTAGGACAGGACAGGGCAGGTGGGGGCCGCTAAGGATGCGGTTCATCCCTTTTTATAAAGATGAATAGTAATACGAATAGTATTAGATCCCACGAAAATAAAAAGAGTAATAGTATGAATGTTTGATTGAAGTTAATATTTGACTTTTACCCATAATAAAGGTTCATTAATTTCTATAATAATCATCCACTCAATAAAGTCTTTAAAAATTCAAATTGATGACACATATCTTTTACCCAATAATTAAGGCCACATGACTCTGACTTCAACCATTCAAAACCAAATTAGAAAAATTCATTAATTTGCTCGTCACCACTTCATTATAATTTTTATTATTAGGTATAGTCAAATGGAATCTGCCTAATAAAATGGTCTCTATTCCAATTGGAATTCAACTTTTGTACACCACGCTAGCACACAAGTGTTAGCTTTCATTTTCTTCGTATTTCCGATCCCCAACCAATGTAAGTTTTTGCTATCTGCACTTGATTGTACTTTTATTGCTTTTGTTAAATAGAGGTTATGTCTAGCCTCCTTTGAAGTTATTAAATTCAAATAATCGCTCCATTAATAAAATACATCGCATGGTGAATTTAATTAAAAGAAAAAAAATGTTGATTTTGCAAGTTTAGTCTAGAAATTATGCAGTCTTTAATAGTGAAATATTTTTCAATTCGTGACAGTGATATGTGACATTTTGTCAATGGATGGCATTGCATTTACATTTATGGGGACAACTAATTAGGCCCAAGACCGACTTACCTATACCCTTTTAGTTGACTAGTATGTAAAGCGTGCAATGCATGTGATTTTGTGATTGTATTGTGAACATTTTATATCTATTGTTGTAAAGAATCATAAGTAAGGTTATCTTGTCATGTCAGAAGAGAGAAGTTTTTATTTGGGAAGTTTTCATCATGCCCACTCTGAACAAGAGATCAGATGTATTATATCCAAATATGTAAATATAGTTCTAGTTCAATAAAAATTGCAATTAAAATATAAGAATTTGTTGCTTCAAATGCCGTGTAATATATCACTTATTGTTAGATTAAATTTTCACAATAGCTCCGTCTTGAGTGCTTTTATAAGAATTTGTTGCTTCAATAAGTTCCCTCACATTATCTGCATCTTATAAAGATAGACTTATTTCTATTTTCATACAGATTAAGAAAATGTAATTAATATACTTGAAAATGTAATTTTTTCTTACATTTTTCTTAATATACTCATATATTATTAATTGTTTAAATATGATTAGTTTATATTTATTGATAACAATGTACATTGAATAGCGGCACATTAGAAAACTAAAAATATCTATACTTTCATTAAGAAAGTGACCTGTAATTTGTGACCCACAAAAAAAGAAACTAAGCTTATTTTTATAGGATGGATGTAATATTTTTTAATGATGTTTATCATTCAATTTGGTTTATCAATTATTCAAAACATTCAATTTTTTTCACAGAAAAACCTTTAAAGCATACCAGCCCGAATCTTTCTCCACATCTTCTTGGTGCCAAAATAGATGAAATTGATATTAATGTCATTGTTTGGTGGGGATTAAAATCAGATTTTAATAAATTTTGATAAAAGTTGATGCAATATGCGGTTGAAAAGTTATGAAACTCATAATATATGTGATTAAAATTAATTGTTGACTATGGTTTAGATTAAAATCTAGATTTTAATTTCTACCAAATGGAGGAATATCTTTTTATCCTTTTCCCATGTTAATTAATGGTAATCACTTTTTAAGTGAAAATAGAGTAATTTTGGAACTCATTGTAACCAATTCAATGAAGTTTGCATGTATTTTTCTTTATTAGACAATGTAGTAGTGACCTCGTGACAAATAGGTTGATGGTCATTATCATTCTAGATAAAAACATTACTCTATTATTAAACAACTAAAATTAGGAATTCGAATAGATAGGCAATGATATTTTGGTCTCATTGTCATCGATCAAGTATTGTAGAAACCATGAAGTGACAAGATTGATCGTGATTTAAGAATTGTTTATAAACAAATTAAATTATAAATAGATATAGATAAGTAATAAAAATGAGTAATATATGTGAATCCTTCAAAATATATGTTGAAAGAGCACAAATGTTCATAATAGTTTATATTAATAAATGTTATCTTGCAATAAGAAAATATGCATAAAGCCTAGAGTACATGAGCTTTTTTCCGGACATGGAATCGAAAATGGTCAAGAGTGTCAATCAAAGCCAAGCAAAGTCCAACCAAGAGTGAAAATCATTTATAAGCAACAAACTCACAACAAACATTATGGAGTCACCAAAGAATGTTCTTCTGAGAGTGTGTATTGCTGTATGTATCTTCTTCCTTTGCCTTTCACAAACCTCAGCCGAATTTAAACCTAAACGTAAGTCAAACCTAAACCCGAACCAAAGTAAGCTTCTCCACCATACCAATACCAATCCGCTACAGCACAACTGATCCTTTGAAAACCCGCAAATGTACGAGATCGTGGTCAAGTAATATAATGATGAATAAAGTGTCGAACCCACGAGGACTATGTGTTTGACGGAGTTAAAATTAATTGCAACTTTAATCGAACATCAAACAATTTTTTTGACTTTTTCTATACTAATTCATAAATTATCAATTAAACTAATGAAAGTAAGTAAATGAATTTTTCAAATATGTGAAATGTGTTACTCCTCGCCTCTGAAGCTCAGAGAGATGATGCCACGTAGCATACCACGTAGGCGAGGGTTAACAAGAAAGTCAAATAAAGAGCACGAAGAAAGCAAACAGACCGAAGTCTTTACACTGCAGGACGAAGTCCAGGTTGAGGTACTTCCTCAAAGAAGAAGTTGCCTAAGGAATCAAAGAAAAGAGCTGGGGCTCTCCACTTAGATAACTACTTCGAAGACTCCTCCAAGGCTCTCAGTTCGTCTGAAGCTCGCAAGCTGATGTTGTTCCACTTAGGAGATTTGAAGATCTCTGTAAAGTGATTAATGTAACACTTGTATTAAAAGTTTGTCAGTGTGTTAGCCTATTGTATAGAGTGGTTGACCCCTTATCAATGTATTAATTGTGTGAATAGACAGTGATGCGAAGTCTTCATTAGGGAGATGGGGCTACGTGGTTCTGATCTAACGATCACCACATCGACCAAAATAGTATAAATAAGTTCTCTTTGTAATTTAGAGCAGGTGGGTTATCGATTGAAAACGGGGAAGAACTTACACTCGAAATACAAACACTAGGGTTTATTTTCCTTCTCTTTGGCATGTTTATGAGTGATAAATTCCTTATACGACATAGTAACTTGAACACACATCATATATATCCTTCAACTTATTCACATTCACGATGACATAGTTTGGTTTGATTTTTGACCAGGCAATCTTTATTAGCGCGATCGCTTTTGTTCCGTTCGCCGGAGCTCGAACATCTTTGTCTCTCGCCGTAAATTACTCATCGCGTCCATTCTCTCCGTGCCACCATCATCATTCCAGTAGGAATGCGCCAAAATCGTATTTGACTTGGCGTAAGTGGGCCCAACATCGGTTGGCTCATTTTCAGGGGTCAACAAGATGCATTGATAATATATCGAATCCCCATTGTTATTCCATTTTTAGTATAACAATTAAAGTGATAATTTGAAATCATTTATGTTGGTCAATGTTCCTAATTTAATCGAAAACATCTCTCGATAACGATAAAATATATTCCCCTCATGTGACCCTTCTATCCCTTGATGAAAGATGCAAACATGATAAATACATTAACAAGTAGTGGAACACCTATTAAATCATATAAAGTATATATGTATATCTATATCTTCTATCGAACCTCACAATGTTTATTATAATGTGCTTCAACCCTATTGTCTCTCTCGATAACAATAAAATTCACAATTCAAATCAAATTAAAGTAAAAAAAATTAATTAAAAACTAAAATTTTTATAATAAGGATTCATCTCATCCTAACAATATATAAAACTAAAACAATATATCGAAATTACAAGAAATCATATTTAAGTGAAAAGATATAACCCTAATTTTTGATAAATTGAGAAGATGAAGATGAAGATGAATCTTGAAATCTTGAATC